CGGGGCAGGGCAGATCCCTCTCTCCACCTCTTTGCAACCTGAACATCAGGACAGGCCTGGGAGGGACTCTCTGTGGAGAAGCAGGTGTGTGGGAGGGGACCGTCCAATAGGAATGGAGGTGAAAGGGAAATCCCAGGGGGTGAGAGGAGGCAAGGGTTTGCCTTTCATCATCCTGCCCCTTTCTCTCCACCCCACCTCTGCCTGCCTGTCTATCCTTCCCCTCCCCTGCAGGATGGGGGCACCTTGGCTGTGCCGGCCCAGCTCTCCCTGACACAGTCATCAAGTGGGACCCCTTCATGTGGAAGATGCTACAGAATAGGCAGTGTGGCCCATCCCTGAGAGTACTGGCTGCTGATGCTGCTGCTTTCCTGAACATGTCAGGCCCCCAGATCTGACACTGGGAAAGGTTTGGTATCTCGCTGACCCAGAAAGCAAAGTTGTCCTGAGCAAATGGGAATTGTTCATTGTTGTGTGTCTTGTGCTTGTACCCATAATGCATTGCAGCTATCTCTGAGGTACTTGAACCTGGCTGTTCCTTCACCCAGACTTACCACACCCATAGTGCTTTGCTGTACAGTGGGACCTCTGAAACGGGTCCCGTGGGCTGTAAAATCTGAAGACAAGGCCAGACATGGTGCCATTTTTTATTTTTTTAAGCCCCATGTGTGGATTTCTGTCTGTGATAAAGGGGAAACCAGCATCGCTCACCCTGAAGCTGCCTGTGGCTGCCCGTGGAAGCGTTTGGGAGCTGAGTGGTGTTGGCCCTTGTGCGATGCTCACAGACATGAGTCTGCAGGTGCCGTGTGCTTGGTAAAGGGCACATTGGAGCAAGCACCTGTGCCCATGTCCTGGCCTCCAGCCTTGTGCCACCTGCAAAGAGGAAAATGTGGGTTGGATCCCCTGCAGGAAAAGGGGAAAAGGATGGCATCTTCCTGGAAACTGATGAGGACACGGAGGAGTTTGTGTCTGGATTGGAAGTTGTGAGATCTTCCTGGAGACAGGGTTAGCTCCTATCTGACTAGCCTACCTTGGGTGCTATGTGACCCTGTGGGAAGCTCTCAAAGGATATGTTTGCCTTGGCTTTTCACCCAGTCAATCAGAATTTAATAAAGGGCATTGATCCTTTTCTCATTTTTTCTCCTGAGATGCTTCCACCACCAGAGAGGGCCTGTTTACCAAAGAGCGTCATAGATCCAGCCCTGCTACATATTTCTCTGCTATTAAGGAGCTAGATGGTCTTAACAATGACACCGCTGACCGAGAGAGGGAAATGAATAATGTGCAATGGGACCTTAAGGAGAAAGAAGGTACTCTATTTTTTTTTCAAATTCTTACACATGGACATGCTTAGAGAGAAGGAGGGCGAGAGTGAGACAGAGAAACATGGATGTGAAAGAGATGCATTGATCAGTTGCCTTCTTCATATACCCTGACCAGGGATTGAACCCACACCCCAGTTATGTC